TCCCTCCCTCTTTTCCCTCTCTTCCTCCCTTCCTCCCTCCCTCCTCCCTCCCTCCCTTCTCCCCGTCTCTTCCTGCCTCCCTCCCTCCCTCCCTCCCTCCCTCCCCCCTCCTTTCTCCTTGTCTCTCTTCCGCCGCCTCCTCCTCCTCCTCCTCATAACCCCTTTGCGCTCTCCCCCTCTCCTCCCACTTTCGTGCCTTCCCTACCACCTCCCACACCCCTCCTCCTCCTCCTCCGCCCCCCCTCCGCCCCCCCTCGCGTCCTTCTCCTCCGCCATCCCTCCCCGCTCGCGCCCACCTCCTCGTCGCCACGCCCGCCCCACTCTCCTTACGACGACGACGACGACGACGACGACGACGACGACGACGACGACGACGACGACGACGACGACGACGACGACGACGACGACGACGACGACGACGACGACGACGACGACGACGACGACGACGACGACGACGACGACGACGACAGCGGCGACGATGGCGACACTGACGACGACGACGACGACGACGACGACGGCGGCGGCGGCGATGACGGCGACGACCACCTCGCGCAGTCCCGACTCTAACGACCTGTACCCCCTCGACGAGGCTGGGCAGGAACAGCTGTCGGAGGACGGTGCTCTCGGGGCTGGGCGGGGACGGTGTGAGGACGGATGTGAGCAGGGAACTGGTGGTGGGAGGGAAGGGTCTGGGGCGTCCCTGCTTGCTGTCTCCTTCGCGCCTCGTCCTCCCCCTCCTCGTCCGTGAGGTCGCCCTTGCCTCCTGGATGTCGCAGCGCCGAGCTGGCGAGAGGACGCTTCCACCTCGCCCCTTGCTCCGGCCTGTTGGCCCGCCTTTGTCCTCTCCTTCACAAGAAAGAGAGAGAGAGAGAGAGAGAGAGCCGGAGTGAGAGAGAGAGAGAGATAGAAAGAGATAGAGAGAGAGATAAACGGAGGAAAGACGGATGGGAGGAAGAGGAGGCGATGAAGTCCAGACCTTGTTTCAAAGGCAAAGGCGCATGATCCAGAGAGCCCTTTCGGGTGTGCGAGCGGCAGCACTTGAGCGCCGGCCTGGGCGCTCAAGGGAGAGGGGGGCAGGTGGAGGGATGGTCAGAGGAGGGAGCAGGTGGAGGAGAGAGGGTGTCGGGTGGATGGAGGGAGGAAAGGGTGGAGGAGGGAGAGAGGGAGTAGGAGGAGGAGGGAAACACCCCGGACGAGGACGAGGAGGAGGAGGAGGGCGAGAATGAGAAGGAGTAGGAGGAGGAGGAGGAGGAGGAGGAAGAGGGAGCAGAAGAGGAGTCATATTAATAGTAATAACAATTGTTAATCGAAAAAAGAATACGATTACTCCGACGGAAGGACCCCACATGATCATCTGTTTAGCTCCGCGCAGGGCGCTGGAGGCTTAAGTTTTGGCCCAAAAGGCGGGAGCCATAGGGAGGGGGCTCCCGCCTAAGATTTCCTCACAATTCACTCACAGACGAGGCTCCCGCTTCATACTTCCCCCAAATTCAGGCCTGAGAAGCCCAAAAGTGACGACAGTTACACGTTTCGGATGACCCGCTCGGATTACCAACATGAAGTGCGGGACCCATAGGAAAGGGCTCCCGCCTGAGACTTCCTCACAATTCACTCACAGACGAAGCTCCCGCTTGATACTTCCCCCAAATTCAGGCCTGAGAAGCCCAAAAGTGACGACAGTTACACGTTTCGGATGACCCGCTCGGATTACCAACATGAAGTGCGGGACCCATAGGAAAGGGCTCCCGCCTGAAACTTCCTCACAATTCACTCGCAGGCGAAGCTCCCGCTTGATACTTCCTCCAAATTCAGGCCTGAGGAGCCCAAAAGTGATGACAGTTACACGTTTCGAATGACCCGCTCGGATTAACAACATGAAGTGCGGGACCCATAGGAAGGGGGCTCCCGTCTGAGACTTCCTCACAAGTCACTCACAAACGATGCTCCCGCTTGATACTTCCCCCAAATTCAGGCCTGAGAAGCCCAAAAGTGACGACAGTTACACGTTTCGGATGACCCGCTCGGATTACCAATATGAGGTGCGGGACCCATAGGGAGGGGGCTCCCGCCTGAGACTTCCTCACAATTCACTCACAGACGAAGCTCCCGCTTGATACTTCCCCCAAATTCAAACCTGAGAGCCCAAAAGTGACGACAGTTACACGTTTCGGATGACCCGCTCGGATTACCAACATGAAGTGCGGGACCCATAGGGAGGGGGCTCCTGCCTGAGACTTCCTCACAATTCACTCACAGACGAAACTCCCGCTTGAGACTTCATCCATATTCCAGGTACGGGGGTGAGTGATGACGAAGTGATGAGTGAGTGAGTGAGTGAGTGAGTGAGTGAGTGAGTGAGTCAGTGAGTGAGTGAGTGAGTGAGTGAGTGAGTGAGTGAGTGAGTCAGTGAGTGATGATGATGATGATGATGATGACGATGATGACGAGTGGGTAGGTGATCGAGTGATGATGATGGTGACGATGATGAGGATGATGACGATGATGATGATCATGATGATGAGTGGTGATGCTGATTGATGATGAGGATGGTGATGATGATGAATGTGATACTGATGATGATTGATCGAATGATGATGATGTTGTTGATGATGAGGATGATAATGGTGTGAGCGTGAATGAGTGTGATGATTATGATGATGGTGACGATGATGAGGATGATGATGAGTAGTGACGATGAGTGGTGATGGTGATAATGATGATGGTGAGTGAAGGGGAGAGGGGTGGGAGGTGAGGTGAGGTGAGGTTCCTGCGCGAGGTGTCCAGAGAAAACAAGAACCCCACTTTGGATGTGGGGAAAAAGAGAGAGAGAGGGGGTGTGGGAGGACTGCGCGGGGTGTCCAGAGAAATCAAGAACCCCATTTAGGATGTGGGGAAATAGTAATGCGAATACTAAGAAAACTAAGAGTAAGCATAATTTTAATGCGAAGAATATGCCTACTAATAATACTAATAGTAATGATACGACGTTTCAATACGACGAAACGTATAATGCATACTAATGTGAGTAGCAGTAAGAGTACTATAACGAATAATAAGAAGAACCATACTAATTAGACGAAGAAAAATATTAGTATTCAGAATAATAATGGAAATATGAATATTGATAACACGAAGAATAGCAGTAATAGTCGGAATAAGGTCGAGGCGACACAGACTGATCCTACTAGTAATACAAAATAGCATTAATAAAACACAATAATAATAGCAGCACTACGACTAAGCATATTAGTAGTACGACTCATACTAGGAATACGAAGAAGAGGACGGCCACTCATATACTACCAATTAAGAGCATTACTACTAAACTACTAAAACGAATAGTATTAGTGATAAGATTATTAATATTCAGACTACTAATACGAAAACAAGTAATAACCATAATAATGGTAGCAGCAGTAATACTTGTAATGCAAATACTACTACTAATATTATCATTGATCGTCTGACTACTACGGCTATTCATACGACTACTGATGCCACTGTGGTTGGTATTTTTTAGTAGTAGTAACGCGAGTACTACTGCTACTACTAATAGTAATAACGGTTAGACTAGTATTAATATTCATCCTGGTGTTACTAATACTAGTAATTTCAATTATAAGAGTACTAATAATAAGCCGACTAATGATACTCCTAATAACAACAGTCACAGTAACAGTCGTACTGATACTCATACTAAACGATGCCTATTTGAATACGTTTAATATCAATACCACGAATAATGTTAATAATCCGAATGCTTATATTAATAATATTAAGACTGAGACTAATACTAATAATAGTAATGATAACCGCACTACTAATAATACTGATAATACTAATAAGAATAGTGAAATCGTGGTATTAATGACAATGCTAACACTAATACCAATAATACCAATAATATTCATACAAATAAAAGTAACAATATAAGGAGGAGGAATAGTAAGAGGAGGAGGAGGAGGAAGAGGTGGAGGAGGAGGAGGAGGAAGAGGGGGATGAGGAGGGGGAGGAGGAGGGGGAAGATGAGGAAGAGGAAGAGGGAGAGGAATAGTCAGAGAAGGAGGAGGAGGCGGAGGAGGAGGAGGAATAATACTAATACTAGTAGGAATGCTACTAGTACTTGTGATAATAGTACTGATAGTACTATTTACCATACTAGCTATAACAGTACTGATAATAATAAAATGATCACTACTATTAATACTGGTGCTACTATGAGTTATAAGAAGCCGAATAATTACAATACTAACACTCACATTACGAAGACGACTAATTCTCAGACTAATACTAATAAGCATGCGAATGCTAATAACAACAATGCTAAGAGGAAGCGGAGGCGGAGGCGGAGGCGGAGGAGCAGGAAAAGGAGGAGGATGAGCATGAAAAGGAGGAGGAGGAGGAGGAGGAGGAGGGCGAGGAGGAGGAGGCGGAGGCGGAGGAGCAGGGAGGAGGAGGAGGAGAGGGGGGAGGAGGAGGAGGAGGAGGAAGAGAGGGAGGAGGAGGAGGAAGGAGAGGAGGAGAGGAGGAGGAGGAGGAGGAGGAGGAGGAGGAGAGGGGGGAGGAGGAGGGGGAGGAGGAAGAGGAAGAGGGAGAGGAAGAGAAGGAGGAGGAGGAGGAGGAGGAGGAGGAGGAGGAGGAGGAGGAGGAGGAGGAGGAGGAGGAGGAGTCCTTGGGAACTGGCGCGCCCGTCTTCCCCTTTTGTGCCTGGCTGACGGCCCTTCCTGTCGCACCAGCGCTCCGGGACGCCCGGGGGAATCCCATGGGAGGGGGGAGGCGCCCGTTCGTCGTCGACGTGGCCGGCCGCGCTGCGGCTGCGGCCGTCCGTCAGGGGCGCTCGCGGGGCGGCAGCCCTGGCTCGGTCGCCGCGCCCATCGTTGTGGCGCTGCGCCCGAGGTCGGGCGCGCGAGGCAGGAACGCCGAGATTTGTGCTCGGCTGGTGGCCCTTTCTGCGGCACCAGCGCTCCCGGACGCCTGGGAGGATCCCTTGGGGGGGGCGCCCGTTCGCGCTCGGCGTGGCGGGCTGTGCTGCGGCTGCGGCCGTCAGCTTCGCGCTCGAAGTGGGGCAGGCAGTGCAGGTGTAGGAATAACTGGCGCACTCGGCATTCTGGGCGAGGCTGCGGTCGCACTCGCTGGCGGTGCCGCTGTCAGGCGGGGCCTGGCTTGCTATCGAAGCTGGTGGCCTCGAAGACGGATGGGCATTGGAGGCGGCGTGCTATGCGCTGCTCCAAGCTGATCTCTCAGGTCGGCAGTGTCCACTTGCACCCGAACTGCTCTGCGCTTCCCCGACAAATGCTTCCATCTGTGTGCTGGCGCCTGAGGTCTCGATGGAGTTGCCTTCGCACGCGCAGGCTTGAGCCTAGCGCCCGACGGAGTTGGAGGAATATGATCGGCGAGATGTCATCGCACTTCTCGGGGCTCGTGATAGCTAATGTTTCATTTGGGCTTGTCGCTGATAGATGCTATCGGACATCGGGGCGCACTCGACGGCTTCCAGGTGTACAGGTGATGTGTTAGTTCGGGAATGCATCGGTTTGCTTTCCATGATTTTTGAAGATGGCGTTGGCAATGAGCGGTGCGAGGAAATATGGTTAAGCAGCCGAGGCAGATGTTGTCGATGGTAATGGCGGAGACTGTGGTAACTCGGCTGCGACCAGGCGCTGATGAATGCGTCTGGTGAGTTGTCAGACTATGGGTGGTTGAGAAACTGCGTTGCATTTCCAATCGTGCATCTGAGCGGGATCAGTAAGTCGGTCTCGCTGTTTGCATCGCCCATCTCCGAACTTGATGCGCTCCTTGATCCCGGTGTACTTGGAGCCGGTGGGGTTGGGCAAACCCCCGAGGTGAATCAAGCGGGGGACGCTGGTGCCCGCGATGCGCTGCTCGATGTCGCGAGCGGCTCTTGGCGTTGGTGGTGCAGACGAGGGTGTCCTGTTTCTCGACGTTCAGGCGGTGGCCTGTCGTGTGGATGTACTTGTGGCGCGTGGCCGTGCCCGTCGTGTTCGGGGCTCGCCGGCAGGCGAGAGGCGCAGGTGCGACCAAGATCGCCGACGACAGCGCCCACGGAGACCTGCTGCTCGGCGTCCGCGAGGGGGCACTCGACGGTGGGGCCGTCCCTGGTGCGTTCGGTGGCCTCCTCCAGCCGGGCCTCGGCTCCACAGCAGCACGCGGCCAGGAAGAGCTCGGGCTTGCTGCCGTCGCCCGTGCGCCCTCCCGCGGAGGTCGCCGGCGTCGATGGCGAGGGCCGCGCGCTCGCGGCGCTGGGTGGGCATCTCGTCGGAGGGCTCGTTGTCGGTTTGGTCATGGTGGGCCCGGGGGCGGAGTGAGCGGCCGCCTGTGGCGAAGGCGTTGCGCACGTCGTAGGATTGGGCCGGGAGGTGTCGGCCCGCGGCCAGCGAGCGCCCCACGGTTGCCGTGGCGAGTCGCACGAGGCCTTCGCGGCGTCGTGGGCGAGTGCCGCCGCAGTCCCAGGCGGGGGGGATGAGAGGGCCTCCGTAGTCGCGCCGGCCCACGCGGGAATGCATCCGGCACCAGCAGCAGAAGCGGTGCAGCAGATGGAGGCAATGATGGATGTCGTGGATCTCGTCGTCGCTGGGCCCGTGGTTCTTCTTCCCGATGGTGACGACCTGGCTCGTTGTGGCTCGTGGCGGTAACGTTCGCGTGGTACGAGCGTTCGCCAGGAGAAAGGTGTGCAAGGCGTGGCCGACGCTCGCTTCTGCAACTGGTATGTGGCAGCGAGGTCATCGAGCAGGTGCTTCGGTTAGGACGAGGTTGTGGATGTGAGTGTAGTAGTTATCTTCGAATTCAAGTCCTCGCGTCTCCGTCTTGGGTCGGGTGATGTACTTTGGACAGAGAGGGTCTGAGTAATCTCTCCAGGCCAAGACTATTCAGCATTGTGACGTCGGTGCTTGATGGCCCAACCTCGAGTCTTCGTGTGCCACGCGTCCTCCACCGCGGCGTCGAGGTCGGTCTGCGTGGCGCCGTGCTGGACGGGCCGAACTGGGCGATGCCCTCAACAGGTGAGGCTAGTGCCTTGACAGTGGTGTCGTCTGCAGGTAGATGCTGGTCGGGTGTGATGTGGCTCCCACACCTCCTTCCCAGACCTCCGACGTCGTCATTCTTTCACAGCGTCAACCCCAGAGGTCTGCACCCCTTCCCTGGGGCCGGGTTTTCATCCTGAATCAATCGTTTTTTGACAGTCCCGGGGCCCAGGAAGGGCACCTGGAGGCCGACAATAACGAAAAACCTCCCGTCGTGACTGTTTCACGACGCGAGGAGGTCTGGACCCCTTCCCCGTGGTCGGTTTTTCATCCTGAATCGTTTTTTGACAGTCCCGGGGCCTGGGAAGGGCACCGGAGGCCGACAATAACGAAACATCTCCCGTCGTGATTGTTTCACGACGCGAGGAGGTCTGGGTTCGGTGGCCGTCTTGACGAAACACCTCCCGTCGTGACTATTTCACGACGCGAGGAGGTCTGGCCTCGCGGTCGCGCGGAGGCGACCGACGGGTGGCTGCTCTTCTTGCCGCCCGCGCGGGTGCCCGCGCGAACGCGACCCAGATGGCCGGCCCGAGCGAGGTCTCCTACAGCCCACGCTTCGCGAAGTTGGTCGTCGACAGAAGTGCGCCACCAGTCGTTGTGCCAGCGTCGTTGTGGCTTCAGTTGCCTGGAGACTAGTCGTATTGCGTCGTGATGGAGGTCGAGTCCGGCTTCGTAATGATGAGCGCGTTGTTGAAGTGGGCGGGTGCGTTCGGCCTTAGCTTCGGTGGCCCAAGCTGGTGCATTGCCTGGAAAACTGGGCTGCAGTGTCCTTGATGAGGTACCCTACGGCGGCAGCAGGACAAGTAGGGTTGGCGTAAGGCGGGTAAGTCGAGCACGGTGAAGTTCGTATTGTGCATGTAGGGCTTCGAAGAAAGCAAGCCGTTGAGGTCTTGTCTGTAGGCGGGCTGATAATAGTCCCCAGTCCCATCGGGGTTGCGATCTGTCACGGTAGTGTTCTGGCACAGAGGTGATAGCTTCCATAGACAGGGGAACGTGGTCGATGACGGGTAGTATGCGGAGTCGCCGTGAGGCATTCCTAGCCATAGTCATGTTGGTGATGACGAACTTGAGTTTGGTCGGGGTGATGTAGTCGTCGATGCGATTTTGCGATCCCTTGTTGCGGAAGTAGTTGGGCCCCCAGTTCCAGTAGCTGCTGATCGCGCTCAGCTCGTTGGTGATCAGGTCGGCGTGGCTGTGACGAGCTAGGTCGTCTTTGGGGCCTGCTTACAAAAAACAATGCTGGCGTCCGCGCACTCGTCGTTGCCAATCGACCCATATCGCATGTTCATGTCGCTGAACATGTTCTGTTCGGCATCGTCGGCTCGGGCGTTCCACAGCTGCACGCGAGTCTCCTTCCAGAAATGATGTTCCCGCGCGAGGCTTGGCCGAGGTGGGGCGCAGGCGACGATGTATCTGACTCGATGCGGTCCCCGTTGAACGCCGAGGCCTCCTGCGCGTCCTTGCAGATGATGAGGTGCTACAGCGCGGGCCATGCTCTTCTTGCAGTGCAGCTTCCTCGACGGCCCGCTGCTGCACCCAGCGCTCGAATTGGTGCGTGCTGCCCGAGTCCATCCAGAGGGTGTGCAATGGTGCAGCCGTGTGCGTCTTCGTTGATGTGTGGCTCCTGCTCGGCTGCGCCTCTTGGTGCCCGGGGCGGGGATCGCGCTCGCGCTGCGGAGCTCCGCGCTGACGGCCTCCGGGCGGCCCCTCGTGGCTCTCTGGCAGGCCGAGCGGGTCCCCCGCCGACGAGGGCGGTGCTGCGCAGCTGCCTGGCGACGTTGGCGTGGCCGTCGCGCGTCTCCGCGCAGCTCGCCGTGCCGCGTCGGTGCAGCGCGGGGAGGACCCGCGCGGCCGCGCCGCCGTGGGGTCAGGCCATCTCCCGGCGCGGTGTGCAGCCAGGCGAGGAGAGGCAGACAGGTGGCGGGGGCCACCGCGCCAGGTGATGCTGCAGAGGATGATGATGAGGATGCTGCAGAGGATGATGATGAGGATGATGATGATGATGATGATGATGATGATGATGATGATGATGATGATGTTGATGTTGATGATGATGATGATGATGATGATGATGATGCTGATGATGATGTTGATGTTGATGATGATGATGAGGATGCGGACGGCGATGCTTATGGTGATGACGATGATACGGATGACGTTTCGTGGCGGTACTGATGATCATGACGATGACGATGACGATGAGACTGACGATGAAACTGATGCTGATGATGCTGATGCTGATGATGCTGATGATGATTATGCTGATATTGATGCTGACGACGATGATGATGATGACGATGATGCTAATGTTGCTGATGATGATGTCGATGGTGATGGTGATGATGCTGATGATGCTGCTGCTGATGATGCTGATGATGGTGATGAGTATGAGTATGATGATGATGATGCTGGTGATGCTGCTTTTGTTAACTTCTCTGATAATGATGCTCTTGATGATTTTGATGATGATGCTAATGCTGATGCTGTTGCTGCTGATGACGTTACCACTGACGATGATGCTGATGATGACGGTGATGATGATGCTGATGATGATGATGCTACTGATACTGATGATGATGATGATGATGATGATGATGATGATGATGATGATGATGCTGATGATGATGATGATGATGATGATGATGATGATGATGATGGTGATGCTGCTGATGTTGATGATGCGGATGTGATTATGCTGCTGCTGATGATGATGATGCTGATGATGATGATTTCCCATATCCTAAGATGGGGTTCTTGTTTTTACTTGGACGCCTCCTACTCCTCCTTCCTCTTCTCCTCCCCTCTCCTCCTCATACCCAGACTTACTCATACACAGACTGACTCACACTCAGACTTACTCATACCCGGACTTACTCACATACAAAATTACTCATACTCAGACCTACTCATACTCAGACCTACCTCTACTCAGACTTATTCATGGTGAGACTCACGCACGCCCCGTTCGCGGCCGTATTGTGGGGATGCCTCAAGCGGTGCTACCAGAGCAGATTGTGAGAATGTCTCGAGCGAGGTGTTCATTGTCACCCCCCTAAGGCGAGCCGCCAGGGGTTATCTCACGGTCCCGTTCGCTGCCGTTTTGTGGGGATGTCTCAAGCGGGTTGCTTGCTTTCTGCCTCCGC